GCCCCGGGGCACGCTGAGCCGGCCACCAAGACCAGGCATGGTAGTGCAAGCCTGTAACCCCAGCACTGGAAAGGCTGAAAACAGGAGGATCACTACGAGTTCAAGCTGTGTACTGAGACACTGCACCAAATACACAAAATAAATATGGTTTAGATCACATCTCATATTTTGATTTCCATCAGTCTTTTCTTTTTTCCCAGTTCATCCCTTCTTCTCTTATTTTACTCTAACACCTCCTTTCCCTCCTTACTATACTTCTCGCTCCTAGTAAGCCACCTCCTCCATAAACTCCCCACCTGCATGTCATACCTACTCATCAACACACACACACACTACGTACAGCGCTTCCTTTTGATTTCTAGCATGCTTCCCTTTTTGTAGAATCCACTTTTTCATTCAGATTTATGCCCTGGCCATTTCCTTTGGGAAACATTTATCTTTGAGTTCCACTCATAGGTGGTAAAAACTTCTTTCCTAAATCTCCTCTAGCTTTCCTGTATAAACGGGAAGAATACAAAGGACCCAAGGAGCACAAGAAACCAGCACTATGGTCTGCCCAAAGTCATCCCAAAGCTACAGCAAGCTCCAGAGAAGAACACAAGCAATTCTAACCCCTGTAGGTCAAAACAGAGCTAGGCTGAGCTCAAACCAGGAACTGGCCACTGGCTAATGGTTAAAGTTCTCATTAAATATACAACATAGGCTTTGATCTTAATAATGGATAAGCCTCATGAAAGTAATGTTTAAGTTGCTTTTTCAGAGTTCAGGATAATGATATGTGGTAGGACTAAAAAATCTAGCATTGAACTTTAAAAAAAAAAAAACAGTATAGTAAAAGACACCTCGCCACGCATCTCTCTCAAAATACTCTCCTCACTCTAAACATCTTTATCTCATGTGGCTGCCACTCTCTGAAGCAGCTCTGGAGTCTTCCTTTTGTGGCTGCCTTCATATCCTGAATCAATTCAAGACGCTTCCCTTTCCTGCTCATTCTGACTTTGGGGAAGAGCCGGAAGTCCCACGGTGCCAGACCCAGTGAATAAGGCGGACGAGGACACGCCAATGCTTCCACGGGACCAGCACTCACCATATTCCTGATCATGTCTCACAAGAACACTCAGAAAAGAGGACTTTCAGAATCGCTTCTGAGAGGCAAGACAGGCACGGATACTGGAAGCGAGGAGGAGTATTCCGAGGGGGCTGTGCAGCAATATCTTTTACTGTAATAATTTTTTTTCACTGTATGTTTGGGTGACTCCTTGTATATAAAACATTCAAGTATATACTCAATGAGACAGAAAAATAAGGAACACATCACCCCTAATAGGTTATTTATAGATTGGTGAAGAACAAAAAAAAGGAAATGAGCAATTACAGAACAGGATTAATGTTATAAAGAAAGATACCAGAATAATAATGGTAATAAAGATGTCTCGTGTCCAGATGCTTTAGCTCTAGTCCAGGCACCACGATCACCTATGCGCCCATGAGCAGGTCACACAACTCTGCAGAGACAGAGACCTCACCCATTAAATGAGGGCGACACCAGTTAACTTAGAGGATAACAAAGTAAGTAACGTGGGGCGGGCAAGAACCATAAAATACTTCATAAATGTAAACAGTGAGACCAATAAAAAAAAACAAGAACTACTAAAAAGAAATAGCTATTAATAAGAGAACTATTAAAACATTATCAAAATTTATTCACTATACTACTGGCAACCAGACTCATTTACAGCTACAAACCCAACTTCATTTTTTAATAGCAATAATAAAAATGAAACACGGTTTCTGAGTGGCACTGTTAGACAAGGATCGGGCCAAGTGGGCTGGAGAACTGATTCAGAGGATGAAAACAGAGATGTGGGGGCTGGGGAGATAGCTCGGGGGTTGAAACGCCTGCCTGGCAAGCACAAGGACCCAGGTCTGGTCCCCAGCACCGCATGCTGTGCTGGCCCCAGCCCAGGGTGCCCTGAGCCAGCCACGGAAACCGGGTGTGGGGGCGCACACCTGCAATCGCAGCACTGGGGAGGCTGAGGATCACTATGAGTCCGAGCTGTGTAGTGAGACCCTGTATCAAATAAATTAATTAATTAAAAAGAAAACGTGTGGGCACACAGAAGCTGACGGAGCAGCACACGTGTGCGCTAAACCTAACAGTGTCCTTACACCTTTTCACCTAAGCAACTTAGCACCACGTGCTTCAAAACACATTTCCCCAGATCTCTTCACAGCATCCTGGACGTGAACACGTTCCATGAGAAAGGTGACCCCCAGGGAATCCTACTGACCTCTGGGCGCCGGCAGGAAGGGGGGCGATAAGCATGATAATACTACTACCCAAATCTGGCTCTTCCAAGTCACTGTCTTCATTCTCCGGTATCTCCTCCAAGTGCATATGATTTTCCACATAAGAAATGATGGAATCAACATCAGGTAGCACCAAAAATTCCACTGGCACTTCCTAGAAACATGTTAATTTTTTAAATCATTAAAATACAGCAAAACATTTCAATATTTTACTTGTTTTGACACTGAAACAAAACTAAGCCTTTGAATGTCACTCTTAAAATTAAAACAAGAAAATAAACCCTACAATTACTATGAGAAGTATACTGTAGAAAAAGTGTGATATACAGAGTTTGCTACTAAAAACCACGACAGAGAAGGGAACTGTCTCTCTTGTGTCTTGTCATAGCGGCCCATCCTCAAGTCTATGAACCATTTCCCATAAAACATCAAGTCGAACTCAAGATAGAATGGAAATAACACAATTTTACTGCACATACAGCCAATCGAAACTTATTTTATATTCTATACAAATAAAATAAAAATACTTCATCTAAAATAATTCCACTAAAAAGAGCACTCTCCACTCCCAGGATTTTAAGAACACTGTACCATATTCTTATTTCACTAAGATGAACATTACTCCATTAACATTTCATTAATTAATGCACAACTACTGCATTTTTACACTCATAAAATTTTAGGCGATTAGATTAGCAAGTCATTTTTAATATGCATGTTTACTCAACTTGTTCTCTTCTCCAAAATTTTTAGTGGAGCTAATTGATTTTAAATCTAGTTTATAAGAAATATAAGAGAATAAAAAACAAAGCAGACAAAAGCAAAGAAAAAGGGAGCAGACCAATCTAGAATATGAAAAAAACTTCCCATTTCATGTATACAAAAAGCAACTGTCATAAGGAAAAAGATGAGGAAAAAAATCTAAGATAAGGAGCTTTAGGCAACATAGCAAATAGAATTTATAATCTCTGACTGGATCTTGCTTTCAAAAAACTATCTCTAGAAAATGATTTTAGGGTGATAAAATTTAAATACAGACTAGGTAGAAAAAAGGTTATCATATTATTAGAAGGCCAGGGGTAAAAAAATATATAAATTTATAACAAGGTTGTCAGATACATAGAATAACAATAGCTTTTAGAGTCATGCTACATATATATAAGTAAAATGTCATTATCTGTTACATTCTTTTAAAATTTTGGAAAAATTATACCTGAAGCACAGAAGACAAAATATTCACAGATAAATCTAGGTGCTATGTGTATGGTCGTTCATTCTATCTTGTTTTGAACATTTAATTTTTCTTGTAATAAAACATTTTAAGAAAGGGATAAAAAGAGTTTTTTTACAAACTTAGTGTTATAGGTTGCATCTTAGAAGCCTCCCAAAGGCTCGTGCGTGTAAAGGTTAGCCTGCCTGACTGTGGGGCACGTTGGGGGCGGGGAGAGAGCCTTCACAAAGTGGGCTGGTGGGAGAAGTGAGGTCACGGGGTGCTCCAGTGCGGATGTGGAGGAAGGTTCCAGGCATGAACACTGCCGCACGCGCTGCCCTAACACGCAAAGCCGTGCCTCCTCAGGGCCTCCTGCCTGGCTCTGTCTAGAAGGTTCTTTTCCCACATAGACCTAGATTTGTTTCTTTGCTTTACCGTCACTTTTCTGAGATGGCAGCCATAACTACCCTCTCACCTTAACTCAAACTGTTTTCCTCCATCACCTTCAACCCCATCTGACACTCCAGTCATATGTTTTTTATGTTTCCTGCCAGTCACACCACAAGAGGAAAATCTAATTTGCACAGCTGAATCTTTAGGGGCTGGGGAGATGGCTCAGTAGGATAAGTACTTCCCTGTCAAGCGCAAGGACCTGAGTTCAATCCCCGGTTCCATCCAAAAAAAAAAAAACAACCCAGCTGGATCCTCAGAGCCTAGAACTACATCTGACATAATGGAAGTACCTAGTAAACATTTATTGAATGAATATTATTTAATATTAGCATTAACAATGTTGGGCCCAGAGCTAAGTACATTATTTCATTTAATATTGTGACCCAACAACCCTTTTAAGTAGGAAATATTATACCTATTTTATGACAGAAAATATCGAGAAGTAATTTTCCCAGAATTACAAAGTAGAGCCGGGCAGTATGACTCTAAAGCATAAATACTTAACCCTATTTAGCTAATTACTGTCACAGAGAAAAAAAAACCCTTAAGCATTACTATTCATTATAACTATTTCTGTACATACGAAGGCTTGTACTATAGTAACATGCCTGAAATACTATCTATGCAACAAGTACTACTAGTGACACTCCAGCTCTCTGCCTGCAGGGACACAGGAAAGGGACAGGGAGAAGGATTACACAGTCTCGGGATCAGTAGTATCGCCCTAAAGAGGAAGTTTGAAAGAATTAGTAACACAACTCACAGAAAACCTCATTCTATTCCTAGCACTGAGCTACATCCCCAGCCTTTGTTGTGTTTTTGTTTGTTTTTAATTTTGAGAAACAGGGTGTTGGCAAGCAGCTAAATGGCCCACGCTGAGCTAAAACTTCAAATCCTCCTCACTCGACTCCCTAGCTTGCTGGGATTGCAGGAATGTGCCACCAGGCCCAGATTACAGATTTTCATTTCCCGTGAAAAACCCGTATTACTTTAGGACTACACGTACCCGCCCCCTTAACCAAGCTGACAGTAAAGGCCAGGATAAAAAGCGACTAACCTTTTCTGCTCTTTTGAAGACCACGTTGGTATACTGAGGAATGCTCACTTCCAATGAGTCCCTTTTTCAAAATGGAAATAAAAGGTTTAAATTGCTAATCTGAAGAATAACAGTCATCCAGGAGGTCAATCTACAATAGAACTATAAATTCTTATGCTAAAATGTTTATGAACATGATTACAACTTAGTAAGTTTGAGAAATTTCACATACAAATACATACAGTATCATCTAGTTTCCACATGAATTTGATCAAACTAATAATATACAGACTTTAGCTCGGCCATTAGTTCTAACAATATTGGTATCTAGCCAAGATTTGGAGTCTATGTGCTTAGATTATATGAAAAGTATGAAAAAACACTAATACTTTGTGAATACAGTGGCTACTCACTATGGAAGATACCTTAACAAGAGTAGAACTCCGGCTTTTCCTAGAAGATGCCAAGCAACCCATTCTGCAGTTCTTCTGTCGGCTTCATACGTAGCTTTTTGGCTAACAATAAAAACCAGTGGTAGTCCTAGCTGGAGATGAACCGTCGAAACTTGCTGAGGGTCTTCAGCAACTTCAGTCTTTATTTAAAACAAAAGAACAAAATGCCTTCACTGTATGAATCTAATGTTCCAACATTTGGATTTAAATCCTAATTCATATTAATAAAGTCACAATGAAAACCAATTCTGTGAAGTAAACTCAACATTAATAAAAACAATCTCATAATTTTCTAAATTTAATGCTTCCATGTACCTATCTAATTTAAACATTACAAAACCAAGAAATTTTATTAAAAATTAAAGATAAAATTATAACCACAAAATAGGCATATGATAAGAAAATAAAAATAAGTAAATAAAATAATGTGATACTGACAGAGGTAAATATTTCAAAGGAAGTAGAACAGATAAGACATAAATGTTCTCATATGACAATTTAATAGGCAATAAATGACACATTATAAAATAAACATCTAAAATAAAACAGCAGATTGGATACACACATCTAATTTCTCTCCCTCTAGAAATCCAAGGGAAGCCACAGGAGTTAAAAAGATATAAACACATAATTGAACAAAGAAAAAACAAGAAGCAGTAATATTTGGAGGCAGGAATACAGAACAGTAGCTGACACGGCCCTGCTGAGCAGCAAGGCCCCAAGCCAGGGGAGAAAAGCTAAGAAACAGCTCAACTTTACCGACACAATTCTAAAACAGCTCAGGAACCGTCAGGGTCTTGTACATACAGAAAATACCAGGAAGGCTCTAAAATGAGAAGGAATGGTTCACAGCTTTTCCTATACGTGCACGTTGGCCCTACTGAAGAACAGTGATTTTTTTTTGGGGGGGGGAGTGGTGCCTGCATAAAACAGCTTGGTCATTTCTCAATCCCTGTTCCCCTCCCCCAGAACCCCTGCCCTATCTTCAAAAGCCCACCTTCTAGTTTCCTATCATCTCTCCTTTACTTTATTTATTTATTTATTTATTTACATTTTAGGTTCCTCATAGAAAAGATATAATGTTGAACTCCCTGAGTCTGACTTATTTTGCTCAAGTTCCATCCACTTTCCTACAATGATTTCACTCTTCTTTATAGTTGGATGATATTCCATGGTGTACCTATACAATTTCTTTACCCATTCATCAGCTGACAGGCATTGAGGCTATTTCCATCGTTTGGCTACTGTGCACTGTGACACTATAGACCCGGGTCCGCATGCATCACATGTGGTGTGGTCTCTGTAATACTTGCAGGACTATATCTAGGAGGGCCATGGCTGGGTCAACTGGTATTCCTACTCTTAGTTCTCTTGAGGGATCTCCATACTAATTTTGATAGTGAATGCACCAGTTAATATTCTTACTACCAGGGCAGGAAGGTTCCTTTCTCCACATCCTCTCCAGCAGTCACTGCTTTTGTGAGTTCAGGATAAGATGGAATCTCAAAGTAGTTTTGATTTATACTTCTCTGACGGCTACAGATGTTGAACATTTTTTTCATATACTTATGGGCCATTTGTATTACATTTTTGAGAAATATCTACTGAGCTCATCTGCCAGTTTTTAAATTTGGTCGATTCTGAGCAAAAATAGCAAAGCCTAAGGCACCACAATACCAGACTGCAAGTTACACTGCAAACCGACAGTAACAAAACAATGTACTGGCATGAAAACAAGACAGGTAGCCTACTAGAATGGGACAGAAGAGGACAAGGAAACCACACACACCTTCAGCTGTCTGATTTTGGACAGAGACCAAAAACACTGCAGAGAATACGATGTAAATAGGGCTCTTAAATTCTGCATAATATACAGCTGCTTTCTCTTAGTTCAGTGAGAAGGTTCTGAACTAATAGTGTTTAGACAAGATATCACGTCTGCATCTTGTACTAGGAACAACTACTACATGGACAACAATATTGCAATGTATTAACTATTGTAACTGTCCTACTAAGCTGTTTTGAAACTATCTCACTGCAACTTCTTTCTCAATAAAATTATTAAAATAAAAAAAAAATTCTGTCATGTCCTGTTTTCAGGTGAAGTCATACTCCACTGAATCCCAAGGCATTATGAAGCTTTCAGTTTTAGTTTTTTAACTTCAAAACTATTATGATATAATTCAAAGAAATGTCATAGCAAACAGATCAGAGGAATGACCTTCCCTAAAATAAAAATTTAAAAAACCATAAAAACATTAAAAATTTTTTAAAAACATGAAAACATAGCAAAAGAAAGTACACGGACAGACACTTTGGGAAAGGAGCTATTTCAAGCCAGAATGCTGAAGCGAAGCAAAGCAAAACACAAAACAGGTTTTTACCAAGTTCACAACAAGCTATAATAATGCTGACTCCAACTATTATGTAGACAAAATCCTGAGAGTTTTTAGTAATACCTGATTATTTGAAGAGAAGGAAATGAGATTTGAAAGAAATGGTGAGGAATCATACAGACGGAGTTGTCTCCTCCATCCTCCTTCCCTCAACTGGGCCAGCAAAAGACTCAGGGGCTATGCTTCCCCGCACATGAGATGCACGGCCCTCCCTCATGACAGGAGAGAGATGCGTAAAACATGTTCTTTAAAAAGAAAAACATGCAACCAAAGATACTTAAAATAAACAACTAAGGAACTAAGCCAGGAAAATTGCGGCTGGCAGGCCCTGAATTTATTTAAATGTAGAGGCAAGCCTTTTTTAAAAATGGGAATTATGGTTATCGAACAGACTATAATAAACATTATAGACCTATAAAAGTATAAAAATAACACTAACAAATATCAGAAACACAGCAAGAAGAGATAAAAACAAGTGCATGAAGCTAATTTCTTCATCTTTTAAAGTTAATTCTAAGATGAAAACATCAAGTTTTTAAAAATGATTTTTGATTTCTTACTGTGTTTTATAATACAATAATTTTCAACACTTTAGATGCTACTTTCTGAAGAATATACAGTGATAGCAAAATATTTATCATTCAAAAGTTCCATGATCCCCCCAGCTTCGCACTGATTTCCTTCTAATAAATTCAACAGCACTCATATGACAGGTCCGTGAATGGATTCACCACACTACCTGTACGTATCTACACAGATGCAGAGATGCCAACTACGGCAGCCATCTGAATACTGAGTGATGAAAGGGGACAACGTTTAAAATTTTTCTTTATACTTTGTTGATCCAGCCTAGCCCAGGTCCAGCAAGCGGCTTCCCTGTGCCCGTGGGACCTCTCCGGACCAAAAACTCAGGCACGCTGTGTGAGTGAGACCCTCTACTGCACCCTTGGGACCCCTCCAACCCTCCACAGCCCCCACTCCCAAGCCCGCTGAGTGAGTGAGAACTTCTGCAATGCTCTCAGTACCCCTAGATCCAGCCCAACCCCAAACCTGGCTAGTGTGTGGAAGAGCTTCGGCACTCCCCTGTGCTCCCTGGGCCAGGGGCACAACAGAGGGGCACCACAGGTTCATGGTTGTGCTAGCAGTGCACAACAGGTTCACTTCCAAGGGTTGCAGCAGGAAGGAGCTGAACACAACAGCTAGACCCAGGCCAGGCATAACTAGATAAACTCAAACTCAATAGATCTGCACTCGAATTTCAATAGGTGCTAAGGTTATAACTGCACCAAGGCTCTACACCAAAGGTCCAAGGTCAGTGCTATATGAAATGACAAAGACAAGGAGCAAAATGCAATCTCAGGCCTCGAGCCCACCCAGAACAAGTACAGAGGACACTAGCTCAGCTGAAATGAATGAACGAACAGCACCAGAAGTAAAGAAACAACAGCAGAAAGGTATAGAGGAACTCAGAGCAGAACTAATTCCTGAAATAAAAAAAGAAATCTCTGAATTCATAGCATATGAAGTAAAGAATCGAATACACAAACATATGGGGGAAATCCAATGCCCACCCAGAACAAGTTCAGAGGTCACTAGCTCAGCTGAAATGTATGAATTAACAGAGTCAGAAGTAAAGAAACAAAAGCAGCAAAGTATAGAACTCAGAGCAGAATTATTTTCTGAAATAAAGAAATCTCTGAATTCATAGCATCTGAAGTAAAGAATTGAATACAGAAACATATGGAGGAAACCCAATCTGAAAAAAACTCTGCAGTAAAAGAATTATTAACTGCCTCTAAAGAAGACATTGATGAAAAAAAAAAAAAAAACCCAGAAATTAGAAAAATGATGGACTCCTTGAATGAGCAATACAGGAAAGAAATAGATCACATGAAGCAGAGTCAAAGAGATATAGAGGAATTTAAAATCTCAATCACAAGCCTACAAAACTGTTTGAGTGAAAGTGAAGACAGACTTTCAGATCTGGAAGATGCTGGTGCAGCTAGTGAAAAGGTAAGAAAAGGTTTCTTAAAAACAACTAGGATGCAGGAAAAAAATAATCCATCACCTGCAAGACAATGCAAAGAATGAACAATGTGAGACTAATAGGCATCAATAAGCAAGATGGAGTCAATACAAATGATATAAAAAGAATATGGGCAGAAGTAATAGCAGAAAACTTCCCAAATATGAGGAAACAATCTGACATTCAGGTAACTGAAGCATACAGAACGCCAAGTAACCTCAACCCAATTAAAAGCACACCAAGACATATAATAGTCAAGATCCCAGAAATCCAGCACAAGAATAATATACTGAAAGCCGCTAGAGAAAAGAAGCAGATCACATTCAAAGGAAAACCCATCAGAATTACAGCCGACTTCTCTTCACAAACCATGAAGGCAAGAAGAGCATGGAGCAGAGTACTTCAAGTCCTCTATGAAAATGAATTCCAGCCCAGACTACTATACCCTGCAAAACTCTCTTTCAAGTTTGATGGAGAAGCGAAATAATTCCATGACAAAGAACAACTAAAGAATTTCATGATGACAAAGCCAACCCTACACAGACTACTGAAAGATGTTCTAGAGAAGGACCAAAATGATCAGAACTCCACAAACGAGAACAGAAGGAACCCACTAAATAAGGCAAACAATTAAACACAGAACAAAAAGGAGTAAACAGAGGCCGGTGAGATGGCTCAGCGGAATAAGCACTTCCCTGGCAAGCGCAAGGACCTGAGTCCAATCCCTGGTTCTGCCAAAAAAAAAAAAAAGGAGTAAACAACAGCAGGTAAATAACATGTCAATCATAAGTTAACACATCTCAAGTATAACCATCAATGTAAATGGACTCAATTCACCAACTAAGAGAAATAGACTGGCATAGCAGATTAGGAAACAAAACCCAACAATATGCTATATACAAGAAACACACTTAACTCATAAAGAAATTCATAGGCTGAAAGTCAAAGGATGGAAAACAATACTACATGCCCCAGCACCTCAGAAAAAAGCAGGATAGCAATCCTGTTTTCAGACAGTCTCAACTGCAAACCAAGAATGATCAAGCAAAATAAAGAAGGCCACTACATACTAGTTAGGGGAAAAATTCAAGAGGAAGAGGTAACACCCATAAATATGCATGCACCAAACACAGGAGCACCCAACTATAAAAAGCAAATCTTAATGGACATGAAAAATCTAATATCCAATACCACAATCTTAACAGGAGACCTTAACACCCCCTTATCCCAAAAAGATAGGTCAACCAGACAAAAACTTAGCAAAGAAGTGGCAGAACTGAATCAGAGTTTGGAACAAATGGACTTGGTGGACATATAGAGTGTTCCACCCAAACACAGCTGAATACACGTTTTTTTCAGCTGCACATGGTTCATTTTCTAAAATATACTTTGCTGCACTGTTTAAAATGCATGCAAACAAAAAATATTTTTTAAATAAAATGCATGCAGATTTTATTTTTTAAAAAGTATTAAGAAAAATCTACTTCAATGTGTTATCCATATTCAGGACAAGCCTTCAGCTTCTCACAGAAAAATCTGCTGACCGCCACTAGCTCATGAGTCTCTATGAAACTGTTTCGAGGCTGACTCTAAGGAAAGCAGGGCACCAGAAATCCTACAGTTCCAATATAGTCCAACTTTTCAAACAATGATCAAAGCACTTATAAACGAGATCTCCTCTCCACCACAGCACAGTCTGTGTGCTCCATGAGCACTCCAAGGGTCACTTTAACTACCATAGAGCATTTCACTTAGATAAGCTACGGAAAAATAAATTGAGGCATTATAATGCCACTTTAAGAACAGCCTGTCATCTAGACTGTCTTTAATAAGAACTACTGCTCAAACTCACAAAATCAAAGAAATATGTGCGAGAAACAGGGAACAGACATAACTCATTTAAGTAAAACATGTCTGTGAGTAAAAGTTTAATAAATTTTATGAGTAAGTTATTTATTCTATTAAAATAAGACACATACCAGCAGAGGTGCTTTCATTGTCTTAACAAACACGTGGATGTTCAGCGTTGTCACCGGCTGGCCCATCAGCGTTCTTCTGCATGGCTGAGCCAAGTCTGAGACGAGCTGACAATGAAAAAAGTAGAGATGTGCGTGTTCTATATCCTCAGAGCTGCAAATTAAAGAGCAGGGTCATCCACTTAATGAAGTTCAACACGTGATCCTTGTGCTAGCCAAAAAGACAATTAAATAACAATTAGGACTCAAGCTTCTGAATTACTGTTTCAGAAAGATGGTAAGATAATATTAGAACAAAATGAACTTGGGCCAAAACAACATACTATATTAAAAATTAATCGCAATATCTGATCAAACCATATGAGTCATGTAGGTTATTTTCTCCCTGAACCTTTTTATGCGGTAGCGTCTCGGTGGAGTTATGCACAGGCCTACGTAATTGTTCCAATAAAAGGATGTGATTGTGTGGACAATGAGATTATTTTGAAATATAAAAATGCTTTTCTAGACCTCTCCTATATGGATTGTCTAGTTTTAATTTAAGCCCAAAGCTGTTTTGAATAAACTTTAGCCAAAACAGGCCTTAAAATAAAAACCATGTGATGGTTTGTGGGAGTTTGTGACTTTATATCTAAAATACTACAAAGCTCAGCAAATATGGCCTGTAATTCAAGCTTTGACATTTCTTTCAATATGAGAACACAAAGATACACTTATAGTGGGAATAACGTTTGCCAAAATTAAAATAGCATGTAAAAAATCTCCACAAGACATTAGAAGAGTTTGGCAAAACACTACAAAATTTTACATTTAAAATATTTATTCTAATTCTTGGGACATGCTTTCTTTAAGTATTCAAGGTTCACTGATTTCAAATTTAATTTCAAATGATTAGAAAAAAGGCACTTAAAAGATACATTTAAAGCCAACTGTATTTTAGACCCTGTGCTAAACACAATGATGAAGATAAATAAGACAATTCAAATCCTCAAGGGCTTAAACTATAGAAGACATTTTAGTGAAATAATTAAACTGTAGTTTATTAGCATTATAATATAAAAAAATGTCGTAAGGAACAAAGAAACATTCCACTCCACCTCAGGTTGGAAAGGATGAGAAAGATCAAAAAACTTAAACAAGAAGGGACAGAATGGCTTCTCCAAGACAGAAAAAATGGACATTTCAAATAAAAGCAGTAAGACAGCTCAGGCTCCATGACGGTGTACAACTTCTGGAGAACTGCTGACAGGAAAGTTCTGAGTGCAGAAGAGCCCTTACATTAACATCTCTGAAACTATAAAATAATTTGAGAAAGTTCTTTCATCAGGGATCATTTGCTTGTAGGTAACAGAAGCCAAAGTGGGGTCCCGGGGAGCCAGCTCAGTAGCACAGAACCTGCCTGGCAAACGTAAGGTTGTAAATTTGATTCCCAGTACCAAGGGCGGGGGAGAAGAAACCAAAATGAGAACTTAGGTGACGTTCAAAAGAATACCTCACAGGATACAAGGAAAATTCAAATAATGATCGGGAAATAAGGATAACGACAGAAATCTATAAATTCCATATAGTGATCCACACAGCAAGAGTTCTGGGGCTTTCAGCTAGCCATTAACACTTTTCAGCTTCCAACTTATTCTGTGAAGACACTTTGCTGTTCTTTCTGTAATTGGGCAAAAATTGCGAATCCAGCTTCTCCACACCAAATTCGCTCAGAAGTGGATTTGCGAGACATAGGTCAGGGTCCCCATCTGATGTAATCCACTGACACATATGGGTGTGGAGGGTAATACCATGTGTGACCTACACAGACTCTCTGAGAAGGAATACTGAGATGGGAGGACAGGGAAGGGGACAAGGAAAAGAATTCAGATGTGCTGTTACAAAACATAAATAACATATAACACATGTACTAAATCCTATACCAATAAAAATGCTTTAAATTTAAAAAGGAGAGAGCACAGCCTGGCACCAGTGCCCGCCGGGCTCGTCGCTGTCACCACCCGGGCCTCGCTGGTGTCCCAGTGGCTGCGGGCGACGTGAAATCAGGATGTGGGGGGAGCCGCAGTCTTGTAGCTGGATCCCCAAGGAGGAGAAATTCTAAAGCAGTAGGAAGAAAGTGTTTCAGTTTGGGACACTTACTTGCCCCTGGAAATGGGGAATGGACTGTCAGACCAGACATCTATCCTGTCCAGCCTGCCTTCCTTTCAGTCCTACCACATTGTTATTCTGGGTTTGGACTGTGCTGGAAAAACAACAGTCTTATACAGGTTGCAGTTCAATGAATTTGTAAATACTGTACCTACCAAAGGATTTAACACTGAGAAAATCAAAGTGACTTTGGGAAATTCTAAAACAGTCACTTTCCATGTCTGGGATGTAGGTGGTCAAGAGAAATTGAGGCCCGTATGGAAGTCGTATACCAGACGCACAGATGGCATGGTGTTCGTGGTGGACTCGGTTGATGTTGAAAGGACGGAAGAAGCCAAAACTGAACTTCATAAAATAACTAGGATATCTGAAAACCAAGGAGTCCCTGTACTTATAACTGCCAACAAGCAAGATCTGAGGAACTCACTGTCTCTCACAGAAATTGAGAAACTGTTAGCAATGGGTAAACTGAGCTCATCAACTCCTTGGCATCTGCAGCCCACTTGTGCAATCATAAGAGATGGACTCAAAGAGGAACTGGAGAAACTGCACGATATGATAATTAAAAGAAGAAAAATGTTGCGGCAACAGAAAAAAGAAAAGATGAACATTGATATGTTTTATAGCTGTGTGGAGTAGGTTTTCTCTGGCCTGATTTTGACCAGCGGAAGAGTGTCTACAGCTGGTTTGCCTGTTTGCCCTCCTGGATGCTATTAAAGCTTTGTTTTGTTGAACAGTCAGATGCCCAACTCTTTCCTTGTGGGAGATGAGCAAATGCGGTGCGTCTTCAAGAGGTCTCTTCTCCCTACCCCACATCTTCCAGTACTACCATTTTGGGAAGGCAAGCAAGGGTAGTACATTGATCAGAAAACAGTTGTGGAAATTTGATCTGAAGTTAATGAAATAAAACTTTGAAGAGTGAAATAAATAAATAGGAGAAAAGCCTGCTTAGGCAGACTCGGGGACCAGGGTTCAATCCCCGGTGTGCCAGCTCCATCCCCAGGGCACGCTGAGACAGCAATGGAGACTGGGCATGGTAGCGCGTGCCTGTAATCCCAGCATTTGGGAGGCTGCAAACAGGAGAATCACTGAGTCCTGTCTGTGTAGTGAGACCCTGTAGACCCTGTACATGCTGTACTAAATATAAAAATAAAAGTAAAAAGAAGGAATATGGAGAAGTAGCAGAAAGTAATGGAGCGTACAGCACTCTACCTCCTTTTCTATCCATCTCCTTCATCATGAACTGATACATAATTTGAAACACACTCAGGCCCAAGATGAGACAGTAATCAATATATGAATCTTATCCAATGGGAGAGCCCCAAAAAACAGAATAATGTAATGTCCCACATGTACAAGGTATTCAGTATTAGCTGAACAAAGAATGAAAAAAGTAAAAGAAAAAAACCATCTGCCTTACCCCACTATTAGAAAAGCCAGTCCTAGCTAACACTTGATTTAAAAGGCCTGTCCCCAGAGCACTGTCTTCAGAACACAGAACACATGGTCCCATTCAGGGACCTCAGGTCCAGGTATGACTCCTCAGTATCTTGTTATTTACGCAGAAATGATAATTCAAACTTCCCCAATACAGTGTGCTCAAAAGTAAACAAAACATGGGGTTGGGGAGATGGCTCAGTAGAATAAGTGCTTACCTGGCAAGGGCCTGAGTTCAATCCCCACTTCCACAAAAAAAAAAAAAAAAATTAAACTAAAAGTACACAAAACAGGATAACTACATTTTCAATTGCAACTTGGAAATGGAGAAAAGTGAAAAAAAATCCTTCCGGAATAACACCATGTTTTGCTCTTAAATCAAAGAGCATAGTGGCATACCCCTATAATTCCAGCACTCGGGAGGCTGAGGCCGGAGGATCGCTGTGCGGGAGGATCACTGTGAGTGTAAGACCAGCCTGAACTACAAAGTGAGTTCAAGGCCAGCCGGAACTGCATAGTGATACCTTGTCTCAAAATCAATCAATCAATCAACCAATCCAACAGAAAAATCAGAGGAAAGGAGAAAGGGGCAGTGGGCAAAAAGAGACAGACAAGACAACAGACAAGGCTTTCTCCATTGGGAACTAAGCGGACAACAAACAAGCACAGCTGCAGGCTCTGCTGAATGAGTTTTGTGGCTCACAACTCCGGGGACTCCCGACAGCGAAGCTTTGCGGTCCTCCCCGTACAGGCCTCACAGCGCTGGAAACCTGCTGCTCACAGAACTGTGAGCGCGCATTCGATTCTGAAGTCACTGCTGAGGACACCAGCAGAACACCGAGGAGCGAATCCTGGAAAGAGCGACGTAATGGCGTACTAAGCAATAAAATGTAACTTCGCCTTCAGACTTTCTTCTCCACGCGCCCCGATCCCCACGTGATTTCACTTCATCGGTCTTCCGCACATCGGCTTCCAAGCTTTCAGGGTTGTAAACGGGCCTTAAGCAACTGCGTGTAGTGTATCAAACAGCTACTACGTCCTGAGAGGTGATGCTGTCGTTAAAAGGTTAATTACCATTTTGCCTTGCTCTGGGTTACCTGTCCTGAAGGGCTGTGTGATAGTAAATGTAGTTTTAAAATGTACTGGCTATTGTTTGTGTCTTCAAGTACTAAATGAAAAAGAAAATTTAAACAATGCCCTGCCAGAAACACTGAAAAGTAGTTTTTCTATCTAGAATTGTAAACTAGAAGCTAGACAAGAAAAGTAAATTTTAAAACATCCCGTTTTAAAAACTATGTAGCTAGGCATGGTGACACATGCCTGTGACTCCAGCCCTCTGGAGGCTGAGGCCAGTGTGGGCTACACAGTGAGTCAAGGGCAGCCTGAACTACATGGTGAAACTCTATCTCAAAAACACAAAAATAAAAACAAATAAACACTACTTAAATTCATTTAGGATTAGAATGACAAAGTAACTAGCAAAAAACTCATAAACAAGATATAAAATCAATAAACAAAAACCAAACATTCTCATGCCACCCACTGAAAAAACAACTGGAAAAAATTCTATTCAAATAGCTTCAAAAAATCAATGCCTAGGAATCAACCTAACCAAGGAGGTGAAAGACCAACATCATGAAAATTATACCACTTTGAAGGAAAAAATTGAAGCGGACATCAGAAAATGTTGAGACGTCCCTTGTGCTTGAATTGGCAGAATCAGTACCATTTAAGTGGCAACAAACCAAGAAGTATGTGAAAAATGCTGAGCATCTTGTGGAAAATGGTGAGCATCTTCGGCCACTAAAAAAAGGCAAACCAAAACACCACCGAGATTCCATCTCACTCCAGTTAGAGTGCTGCTGGCAAGGACTCAAGGATAAATGATGCTGGCAGGGCTGGGAGGAAGAAGGCATGCTTCTCCATTCTTGGTGGGAACGTAAACTAGCGTAGCCACTCTGGAGATCAGTACGAGATTCCTCAAAACACTAAAAACACAGACAGAAATTTCACTTGACCCAGCTAACACTGCTGGACATCTTGCCAAAAGAATGATACAGTTAACATATTACAGCGATACATGCATAGCCATGTTGATAGCAGTGCAATTCACAACAGCTAAATTATGGAAGCGGCCTAGATACCCACCAACAGGTAATGGATAAAGAAAATGTGATGTACGGGGCTAGGGAGATAGCTCAGTGGCTTGTGCGCCTGCCTGGCAAGCACAGGTCTTGAGTTCAAGCCCCAGTATAAAAAAAAAGTGGTGCGCATACAATGTGGAGTATTACTTAGACATAAAGAAGAATAAATATAATTTGTAGGAAAATAAAAGGCTCTTGAGACCATCATGTGAAGTGAAATTGAACAGGTATAGAAAGTTAAATATTGTATGTTTTCTCTTACATAAGAAAAGCAAAATATAAGTAATCTGAAGGAAAATAAAGGAGTGACGGTAGGAAACAGGAGGATAAATTTTTTGGAAATTGGGAAGGGGATCTAGAGATGTGTGAGAGAAAATAACAAAAGATAAAGGAGATCAAAAGTGATCAATATTGTGTGTGTGTGTGTGTGTGTGTGTATGTACCAATCCTCCCAAACTGTAGAGAGCCCATGCCGCGAATCGCGGCTTCAGAACCAAAACTCCTAGGGATCATTGGGTGAGGCCTGCTGCAGCCCTTGAAGCCTGCGCTAGATTACCCCTCCCACCGAGTGTGCCAAGATGGCGCTCATTTCCTGCTTCCGCAGTCTCTATACACCCGCCTATAATGATGTAAGATACCTTCCCTGAGATTGTAACCAATGGCGCTGTAACATGTATCAACCCTCGATTGGACAGTGTGAGGATATAAAAGAAACGCTCCGCGACGCGGAGGGTCAGAGACAGGAAGAGGGACAAAGAGAGGAACTGTGCTCTCTCGGGGCGCATCACTCAGGAGAACGATTAAAGCCTTTCCGCCGCACAAATCGTGTTGAGTGCTTTCCTGCTGGACGGGAGGGCGCCCGACACCAAACTAATGGAATTATTATGTATCACATATACCAATAAAAAATGTTACATGTGGTAAAAATAAATAAAACAAATAAAAGATAAAATAGCCCCATTACCAAAAGGGATCTACAGATTTAATGCAGTCTCCATGAAACTTCTGAGGACAGTCTTCTGAGAACTAGGAAAACTAGTCCTCAAATTTGTATGGAAACAAAAAGAAGACCCAGAATAGCTGGAGCAATCCTGAGTAAAAAGATCAAAGCTGGAGGTACCACAATACCCGATTTCAAGCTACACTTCAAAGCTAGAGTAACAAAAACATGGCACTGACATACAAAAAAGATACAAAGAAACACAGAACAGGTCAGCCAGATAGCCCAGCGGATGGGCAGACCCAGGGGCCAGGGGTTTGATCCCCAGTATGCTGGTCCTGCCCCTGGGGTGCACTGAGATGACACCTGAGACTGGGCGTGGTGGTGCACACCTGTAATCCCAGTGTTCGGGAGGCTAAAAACAGCAGGATCACTAGGAGTCCAATCTGTACAGTGAGACCCTGTAGATCCTGTACTAAATACATAAAAAATAAAAAACACAAAACAAACTCACCCACTTTCGGCCACATGATTTTTTTTTTTTTTTTTTTTTTTCCGGAACCAGGGATTGAACTCAGGCCCTCGCGCTTGCCAGGCAAGCACTTATTCTACTGAGCCATCTCCCCAGGCTCCACATCCTTTTAGAGAAGGAAGCAAAAGCATACATAGGAGAAAAGACAGCCTTTTTCCCCCAAATGATCCTGAAAACTGAGCATCTTCTATAAAAGATAGAAATTAGATCCCTATCTCATGCTGTTCCAAAATCAAATCAAAATGGATCGAAGTTCTAAATATAAAAACAGAAACTTTGAAACTGCTGGAAGAAAATGTTAAGAGAAATAGTTGAAGCCACTGGCATAGGCAAGACTTCTTCAATAGAGCTCTAACAGCACAGAAAGTAATACTAGGAATCAACAAATGGAATTACATCAAATTAAAAAAAATAAACAAACAACTGGCAGAGTAAAGAACTCAGAATGGGAGGCTTTTGCTAGCTACTTTTCTGATAAGGATAGACAGGTAGGCAAGAAAAAGAACTCACAATATTAATTAATGCCCCAAAATATGTTCGACATTTTTAGCCATCAGGAAAACACAAAACAAAACTACACTGAGATTCCACTTCATCCCAGTCAAAGTGAAGACCATCAAGAACAGAGGGCGCGGGGCTGCTGAAAGTGCCTGCTTGGGCAAGCTCAGGCAAAGCGCAGGGACCCCAGTCTGAGCCTCAGCACCACATACCATGCCAGCCCTTCCCCCACAGGTGGACTGAGCTGCCCCCCCACCACACACACACCCCCGAGCAGAATGGGTGATAGATGCTGGTGGGGATGTAGAAAAAAAGAGGCCTTCTCCACTGGTGGGAAAGCATGCTAGGAGAGCTGCGATGGAGAGAAATATGAAAAGTCCTCAAAAAAAATATTAGTGGAAATACTATCTGCCGCTGGCGTGGTGGCACACATCTGTAATCCTCAAGAGGCTGAGGCAGGAGGATTGCTGCCAGTTCTAGACCAGCGTGGGCTACAAAGTGAACCCAAGGCCAGCCTGAACTGTATAGCAAGACCCTGTATCAAAGAGACCAAAAAAAAAAAAAAAAAATTAAAAAAGAAGTATCTTTTGACCAGCCATACCTCTGCTGATCATATTTCTAAAAAAATTAAAGACATATTATAGTGATACATGCACACCTGTGTTTAGAATGGTGTAATTCACAGTAGCTAAGCTCTGCAAACAGCCTAGATACCTGCCAACAAATGACTGAAAAAAGAAAATGTGGTATATACACAATGCAGTATTAGCCATGAAGAAGAATATAAGGTCATCCACAGGAAAGTATAAGAAACTAGACACTGTCATGCTAAGTGAAATAAGCCAAGCTGAGAAAGCTAAATATCTCATCCTTTCTTATATGAGAAACCTAAACTGTATATAAATGAATAAAATGGAAAGAGGATAGAAAGGCTCCTGGAGATGGAGAAGGAGATTGAAGGAGGGCGCAAGAAAGAGAGAGGGAAGTACAGGGACTGAAAACAATCAGGCTGTGTTACACGGATGCACCAATTCCCCAAGATGCATTACAAACATGCAGTAATAAAAACGATTAAAAATTCAATCCCCAGTCGTGGTGGTGCATGCCTATAATCCCAGCTCTTGGGAGGCTGTAAACAGGCTGATCACTACAAGTCTAATCTAGTAGTGAGACCCTGAACCCCCTGTGGAATCTTCCCCAAAATACAAAAAAAAAAAAAAAAACAAAACAAACCTCCCACAAAGAACACCTGGTGCTCTGCTTTGAAAGCTAGTACTTTACCTGCAAGCTGACTGCGGCGTGGGGTTGAGGGGTCCTATTCCTACGACACCTCACTGGGCCGCTCGGGGCATCCCTTCCCGCGGCTGCCCCCCTCCCTGCCCTCTCCGCCTGCCGCTGTTTCCGCGGGTGTCCACCCTGCGCCAGACCAAGGAAGGGCAGCTCATGCGTCGCGCGTGAAGCCGCATCTGCTCCGCATTCCTGCGGAGGAGCCCACGCCGTGAGAGAATCCCGGAAACGTTGACCAAGAACGTGAAAGAAGCGAACAACAAAAAATCGTTTCCGTGCGCCTCTTATACATACCCGACACTTTCCAAAAGGCCAGTTTCCGTGGTTAAAACAAATTGATAGGTGGTCCCATACACAAAGGCTGCTCCCATGACTGCTCTGTGCTCTGAAGCAAAGGTGGAGAGAGGGAGAGAGGAGGCGTTAGTCGGTGGGACTCCCCGCAGCCTTTACTGCGAATGCCCCCCACTGCCCTCACTTCCTATGACACTTAGAGGAAGCCCCTGCAGGAGCCCCAGATGCGCAAATGCACGCAGTTCGAGAAGTTAGGAAAAGTCCGCTCTACTCCAGGTGAGAGAACTGGGCGAATACCACATACGATAAATGAGTGATTGTTTTTTCCCAGTACTAGAGAACACAGTATGAATTCACAGCTTTGGTACGTTAAGTTTTATACATGTCTACATATATTGATTTTTAACCAATCTTAGCGACAATCCTATATGACGTATTAAGAAAAACAGCCAGGCATGGCGGCTTACACCTGCAGTCCCAGCACTGGGGAGGCTGAGCACAGAGGAGCACTGGCTATTGCCAGCCCGGGCCACGCGTCATCCCCTGAACCTAAACAACAACTAGCAAACAACAACTAACCACCAGCCATTTTCCTGCCCTCCATCCCCTTACCATTTGCCAAATTACAACTGCTTTGAAGTCTTCCACTATTTATTTTGGTATTTGCCTCCATGTATCGACATGACATCATATATATGGGGAGGGAAGACAATGAATGTATACACACTTCAGGAGAAGAAATTAGTATGACCTTTTCTCAGTCAATGGTGATGCCCTTCTATGGGGGACGCTACAGGATGTTGTGCACCGCAGAAAGCCCTCTACACAGCCAGCCCGTAGAGAAGGAACTGAAATCGCATGCGCAGCGAGGACCAAGGTTGCCCAAGCAGCATCCGCCGGACCACTGAACGTCTGGCAGCTCATGGCCCCCACCTTGAGCACCTCTTGTGATTGTACAAGCCAAAGGTAACCTGTACCAATAGCATAATAACTCAATAAATTATACAAGTTTTTGTTTTCCGGAAATATATCTATATTTTGTCGGACTCTACACCCCCACACACAATGTAAATAGATATAAAGGTCCATTATTTATTTATTTCCCACTATGGAAGATAATAAATGCAATCTCTTTTCTAAAACACAGCACCAGGCCGGGCATGGTGATGCACAGCTATAATCCCAGCACTTGAGAGGCTAAGGCAGGATTGCTGTGAGTTCAAGGCCAGTGTGGACTAAAAAGTGAATTCAAAGCCAGCCTGAACTGCATAGTGAAACCCTGCCTCAAAACAACAGGAAAAAAAGGGGCCTGGAGTAGCCTAGTGGTGTGGCAACTGCAAGGTCCTAAGTTCAATTTCTGGAGGGGAAAAAAACAGCTCCAAGAGTGTACCCGATTCCCATTCCCTCAAATCATCTAGCTTTTATTAATGTTCAAAGTTTACACTGCGGTGGCTCAGAAAGCATCATTTACAGACAAACCATTCAGTGAAGAGCAGCCATGCTTTTCAGACAACTCTGCTGTCATGCAGTTATAATGCTTTAAATTGCATTTTAAACAATCATTTTAGATTTTTTCCTTGATTCTATACTCTTCCATGGTCTATTCCTCGATTCCTTACATATCAGGCACCCTGTGGCGTCCACTGTCTTACAGACACTTGTGCGGAGCCCTGAGCCGCCCCACCACGGATGCCGCCACCCAGGGCCTGCCTGGGCGCTCGCGCTCTCCCTCCAGGCCGAGTCCTTCGCCTGCTCCCCCATCTCTCCTTTGTTTCTACTCCCTTGCTCCCACTCTCCTGTACCTCCTTGTGAGAGATACAAAGCACAACTTTTTTGCCACCCTGCACTTCTGAACATGTCTTAATTTCACTTTCACAATTAACTAACGCTGCCTGGACATAGACTCCTCGGTTCAAGTCGTGTCCCCAGGAGCGCTGAAAACATTGTTCATTTTCATCCATTTCCAGAACTGCAGCAGACAAGTCCAGTGCTATTCTGGTTCTTGATCCTTCAGTAGGAAACTCTTCTTTCCTCTGGAAGATTCTAAAATGGTCTCATTTTTGCCCATTTCATAGAAGTTTCAAAATGAGAGGCCTTGGTAGTCACCCTCTATTGTACGACTCAACAGGCCTTTCTAATCTGAAAGCTCAAATCCTTCAGTTCCAGAAATTATTTTTTTTTTAATTTTTCTGTATTTTAGGGAAGGGTCTACAGGGTGTTGGATCTCACTACTAGATCGGACTCATAGTGATCCTCCTGTTTCCAGCCTCCCAAGTGCTGGGATTACAGGTGCCTTACCCCATGCCCAGTCTCAACTGCCATCTCGGCATACCCTGGGGGTGGGGCCGGCACGGCAGGACCAGGGATCAAACCCCAGGCCCCTGCGCCTGCTTGCACAGAAAATGTTCTGGAAGTATTTCTTTTAGTAATTCCTCCCATTTGCGTGTTATTTTCCCTTTTCTCCTCTATACCATGTCCAGGCAGTGATCCTTCCCCGCCTCTCTAGTAGTAGAAGCAGATTATCATCAGATTATCCCACTCACCACCCTGAGGTGGGAGATTAAAGGATGGTGAGTCAGCTAGACAAAAGGGTGTGACCTGTCCCTGACAGAGAACCAGAAAGAAGGCTGCAAAATAAGGTGTGACCTGTCAATCACAGAGGAGGCTGCATAACACAGTGTGCCCTGCAATTAGGAGAGAAGCCAATTCAGAGTTCAGAGCAGCTTCCAAAGATGTGGATCTGACGTTAGGAGGATATAAAAGATGAAGGCCACTGGGCCTCGTGGCCACCGTCTCCTTACCCTGCCAGGGACCTGCCCTGCACACAGGGTATATTTCCTCTCTTCTTTTTCACTTCTACTTTTTACTTCTTTTTTCTTTAATAAATGAAAATTCTGCATTTCTCAGTTGTCTCCATGTAATTCTTTAATTAGGACAAGATCCTGGAGCCAATGGCTACTCCAGTGGCCAACAACAACCCCACCCTAACCAGCATCACTTCCCTAATTCCATGAAGAATGCCTTTTCTGTCACATGGCTGTGTGAGTGTCACAGTGTTCTGTCACACTGCGTCGTGTTCTTCAACACTGCTGTCATAGTCTCTGGTGTTTTTATTCTCTGCAGATGGTCTATTCAAAATCCAAGCCTCTCAGTTCTCAGTCTTCCCTAATCCAGTGACCTCTCTTAAGCTACAACTTTACCTTCACTGTTACGGTCTCGCTCTAAGCCTCGTATAACCTTTGGGTAGCATCCCACACATATAATCACACATCTCTAGGCCACTCTGTCAGGTACACAACTCTAACTCAGCAAGACCAGAGAGCCATAGATTCTACTAACATAAAGATTCAACACAGGGACACGGATCAAACTAACTTGTGGGTCCTTAACTTGTAACTCATTAAAGGCACGTGTGTGTGTGCCTAAAAACCAAAATGTGATTCTTCTCTTGAGCCTACAGATGCCCAGTAGATCACTAAAAGTAGAACAGGGCTTTACTTCATTTTGCAACACTCTGGGTCAAATTCGCTCTTAGCTCTACATATAGGTATGTTAGAAAGTATCTGTTTGACTCTTTAAAATAAATTAAAACCAAAAAAAAAAGACAAGGAAAAAAAATTAAGATTTCTTGATAGCAAATATCAATATTCAATAATTTCCCCAATCTTGCATAACTATATCTGTTAATCTGAGCAAGAGATTTGACAATAAAAATAGATAGTAGAACAACCATTGTTAATTAGCTATTGCTGTTTTAAGAATCTGTAACAATGGCATTGTTGCATATTACCCTGTTTCTGTCTTTTTTCTATAGGTTTTTGCTTCTGTCTTTACTCTTCAAAATAAAATTTAAAGAAGTATCTGTCTAAAACCTGGCAAGACAAGGTTTATTAGCCCTACACTTAATTCGCCCATGTCATCTCAACTGAGATGCCAAGATAAGCCACTGTCCAACACAGGGCCACCTCAGACTCAGGGCAGAGACCCACCTGCCTGAGACTGTCCCAGGCAGAAGCGGTCGTCTCACAGGACTTGCTTGCCCTCAAACCAGCAGGATTCCTCCACAGCCAGAAACCAGGGCTAGATCCTGATTAGGCACAGCAAACCCTGCCTTTGAGCCTTTGTGAGGGGCCAGTCTGAGCCAGCTCCTCCAACCTGCACCCTTCAGTCACCCCTTCCACTCTCCCAAACTAGGGCCACACCACCTACCTGGCAGTTCTCATCTTAATTTCAGTATCATTTAATTTGTATGCCTTCTCTCTTCCTTGAAGCTCTGAGAGCCCGAGCAACACCTTTAGGTCCTTGCTGGAACCTGAACATCTGGACTTTCCTGGTTTCTACTGATTTTTTTTTTTTTTTTTTTTTGGATTTTTGTTTTTGTATTTAATACAGGATCTACAAGGTCTACAGGGTCTCACTATTAGATCGGACTTCTAGTGACCCGCCTGTTTACAGCCTCCCAAGACCTGGGATTACAGGCAGTGCCACCAGACCCAGTCTCACCGTGCCCTGGGGGCAGGGCCAGCATGGCAGGTCTGACCCCTGCATCTGCTTAAACAGGTGCTTTAATCTGCTGAGCTATTTGGCCGGCCCTTTTCCACTGATTCTAGAAGCCTAGTAAAGCACCCTCCAAAATAATTAGAACTAAAAATGTCCCTATTTTATCATATTTTATATGATAAAATAACTCGCTGGAGAAAACTGTTTTGGTCTAGAGGCTACTGTTAGCCTGTGTCACTAAAACGCAATTACTGTTTGACTGAAGGAGGATGGTGTAGCACGCGAGGGAAAAAAAAATCCCAGCAGCAGACAGAAACACTGTACCTCTCTCAGAGCCTGGCTCCTTTGCTTCAGACATCAAAACCTAAGCAGCTAACCCTCAGCCCCGCTGCACAGTCTGTGGGAGCTGGGAGAGCTCCTGGGTAAATCTGGACAGGATACTCAAAGAACAGAGGCTTCTGCGCCACCTGGCTTCTCAGAACAGCGGGAGGCACATTTTGTTCTCCATCTAGGTCTGAGTAAGTGCAACTGTATTTCGGACTATTATGCTCGACTGTTTCCCAAACTTACCAATATAAAAGAATCATAGGATGCTTGTTAAAAAGACAGTTAAGTAGAGATTTCCAGGCCTCAGGCCACACCTGCTGCTTCAGCCTCTCCAGCCTCGTTAGAGAAGCCCAAAATGGAGACAGAGCCCAGCGGCCTCTCATTAGGCAGGCAAAGGCTCTTCCACGGGAAGCAGGGCCATCTGCGGCAGAGGCTCTTCTCCCCTGGCACGATGGTCCTAGGTTCTTCCCACGCTCAGGGCAGAGCCCCTGCTGTCCCCAGCTGGCCCCTGGCGTGAGCCCTCCTGTCAGCAGGACCTGGGGTCTGCTTGCCTTCTGGGGCCCTCTAGCTAAGGAACACATTCTGCCACAGAAGGCTTCTGGGAGACAGGAGAGGTACTCCAGCTGGAAGCCGCGGAGGGGCAGGCCCGGGGAGGGAGGGATGGAGGGCCCTGCGTCCCAGAGCTATCCCTTCCCCGCATCGCACTCAGGACTGCCCGCCGTGCACCTGTGCACTGGGGAGACAAGCTGTGTCTGTGTTTCAGCTACTGTGCATAGACAGGGGCACACGTGTCTCCTCCAGGTGTGGATTCCATTCCGTTGGCCGTTTACCAAACACGGATCGAGTGATCCCAGTCAAGAACTGCATGCAGCTGCCTGCTTCAGTGGTGCGGCCCCAGCCCTAGGGGGAAAGAAGGGGTCCTGGAATCACGGCAGAATGAGACTGCCCATGTAAGGTGCTCCCCAAGGTAATCATGACCCATCAACTGATGAAAGAGTGGTTAGAAAAACAAACCTGTCCGGCTCTACCTGGTTACCCCAGACCAAGCTACAGAGACCCCTCAAAGGTGTCCCTGAAGGGCTCACAGAGACTGACTGTGAAAGGGGAGATGACAAAGGCCACCCAGAAGCCAAACTCAAAATAAAGGCAGACGGGAAGGGGAGCTCCTGAAAACCCTCTATCTGCAGGGTTACTGAAACAAGTTCTTACTTGGCAAGCAGAAATGCCAAGGTGAGAAGAAAATACGATGTGATGTCAACAGTCAAAAGCAGAAAGGCAGAGCTGGGATGCAGGCGCTTGCTCCCCCACTTTTACGAGGACCTTAGGATCAAACAAATTCTGGCATATGGCTTGTTAGGACTGTGTTTATACTAACTGCCAAAATCTGGGTAATTTCAGTTAAGAACTTCATATTATTGAAAATATATAGTAAATCTCAGATCATCACTGAGTTACTTTTCATCCTCCATGAGTTAAGAAAACTAACACGATATTTCTCAACTTATGCAGAACTACATCCCTGCACATGTGGTTAGAAAAATTCCTACGAGCCATCTGACGGGATGAGGAAAAGGGAAGCGCCAGGTCTGACGGTGAAGTTCTTCTGATGTAGCAGATCAGCAGAGGTAGAAACAGTCAGACTTGTTGGTTTGATTACTTGCTCAGTTTGAGATCTAGGGAAAAGGCTACCGCTTTCAGGCTGTTTTCCTAAATGTAGAAGGGATTAGGGAAAACAAATGCAGGCCCAAACCATCTCCCGAGCCTACTAGGATTAAACTAAACTCAGAATCTCCCATCACAGATATATGCTAGTCTGTAGCTTGTCACAAGGAAGAAGGGTTTATCTGGACAAAAATTAATTTCTTGGAAATCAATTAAATGGAAATTTGCGGGTGTGGAAATTCTGGAGGGACTAATGGTTTCAACTGTGTTTTCTCTTTCTGGTCTCTCTCGCTCAGAGATGTCTTCCTGTCCCACAGCTTTATTTCTTGAATTTACATCACCAGTCTATATCCCAATATAAAAATGCAGTCTAGTGATACCCACGCACCTTGGCTGTCTGTCCGGGTGTCAAGGGTCACCCACTTGGACGTCTTATGGTATTTCTTGAGGATGACACCTAAAGGTCAAGTCCAGAGCCTCCCCTCCACACCTTCTAGTCCAGTTTACTTCCAGTCTTTCCCACTTCAGTTATTAGCATTTCACTTTTCAAATACCTCAGACCAAAAGCTCAGAGCCACCTTTGTCTCCACTATTTCTTGATCTATATCCAATATGACAGCAAATTCTGTTTTCTCCTACATCTAAAGTACTTCTGAAGTTCACACTTATTGTTACCCCCCACTGTTAAAAGTCCTGGCCCCAGTCACCCACCCTCACCTCTCGCCTACATTACTGCCATAGATCCCAAATTTTCTCTGTTATTTTACCTTTGCTTCTTCTAATCTATTCCAGACCCAAATAGTCAGACTAATGCTATTAAAATATAAATCAGGAAGTTCTCATTCTGTATAGCAGCAGCAGTGGAAGACCCTCCTCACTCATCCCTTTTACTGACTAGGAGAAGCTCTGGAGAAAATTGAACCTGAGGGCTCTAGAAAGTAAAGAAAAGCAAGCTGATTGTGAAATATTATTTCACAAATATACTATGCTCAGTAACATAACATAGCCAGCAAGCTTCATGTGTATAAAAATAGAGTTCCCATAAGTGATTTATTTCCTAAAAGCGTTTACAATTGCTATAATGACTCTAATGGCACTTCACCATAACACGGTTACACTGCAACAATGCACAAAGTCTTGAAAACAGAACTATAATTTGGTCATGAAATGTTTATAAACTTCTTTACCATAAGCTTAGATATTAATGCTCAGGTGATGCTGTCAAAAAACAGATTTAAAGAAAAAAATCATTCTAAGCAACAAACTAGTCAGTGCTGCGAGGACTGTAAGGAAATAAAAATAGTAATAGTTAATATAAAACACTTACAAGATATTCTAGGGAACATTTTAGTTATTCCAATTCATTGTGCTGTTCACAATAAAACTAAGACAAGATTATCGTCTCCATCTTAATGACTTGGGGACTCAAATCCAGGAACTTGTCCAAGGTCACACTACAAGTAATCGGAGGAAGAAGTCTAATGAAGTCTAATGTACTCTGTATCTTATTCAGTCATTACATTATTAGTTCTTATCCAACCATTAACTAGATTATGCTGCCCATTTAGAGAAAGACGACACAATAGTAAAGATTGTGTTGTAAATTCTGTTGTAAATACTGTCTGTACTCTACTTAAAGTATGTTGATATACTCACACAAGTACACAGGCATAGCAAAGATGAAAGCCGAACTTCATGAATACCTGGAGTGCCAATGGCTCTTACATATGAAAAGATCATATCTGCTTTTCCTTTCACAGTATTTTCTACATTCTGAAGGTCTTCGAGGGTAGTGATATACTTCACTTCGTTAAAAAGAAGAGCACTAAAATAAACACATATCAAATTAGTAGAAAATATGACAAGTATGAATTACATCATAGGCATATATTTTTGTTAAAGTTACTTATTTTAAAAAAATTAATCCGGGGTGGTGGCTTACTCCTGTAATTCCAGCATTCAGGAGGCTGAGGCAAAAGGATGACTGTGAGTTCAAGGCTAGCCTGAACAGCATAGCAAGACCCTGTCCCAAAAAAATTAATCAATGATGAACATGGTAGGGTACACCTGTAATCCCAACAGTTGGGAAGCTGAGGCAGGACTACAGGTTGGAGCCTAGCATGGGCAGTTTAGCAACTTAGTGAAACTGTCTCAAAATAAATAAATATAAAAATGTCATTATAAGTGTATTTTATACTTCAGAGACGTGTGGCTCAGGGCAAAAGCTCTGGCTGGGTTCAATACCCAGCACTAAAAAAAAGAAGAAATTTAACTCCTTTGAACAAATCAGCAGTTACAAGAACCTACGCATTTTAAGGGCTGGGAATATAGCTCAGTGGTAGAGCACTTGCCTGGTACGCCTGAAGACCTGGTACCTCGAAGTGCAAACCCACACCCACACGCACACGACATAACAGAAAACCTAGGAATTAAAATCAGTTTCTGGGGGCCTGAGTTCAATCCCCAGTTCCGCAAAAAAAAAAAATA